GATCCGCGGACAGTGGGACCTCCTTAATCATGTCCGCTGAAAATATCGACTGACCAATCAGACTGACGAAGATCAGCATCATGGCGAGCGACTCTTCCTCGAGCCAGAAGCTAAACAGCGTCAGGAAAGCGAACACGCAGGTTGGGCAAATGTCGGCGACCAAAAAATACGGGCGGTGACGTGTCAGCGACAGCTCGACTATCATTGATGGCCAGACGTTGCTCAGGCTATCTTGATTGGTCAGTTTTTCGTTGATTCCGGTCGCTGTCCAATAGGCTTTCTTGAACTGTATCTTGTTCAACTGCCAGCCCGACACGCATTGATTTTCCTTCAGAAACAGCAGGTCTCCCATGTCCTAACATACACAGATTGTTTTTAAAGCATGAACAACAAACATTGCACTCATGTTCACCTTCTGAACTACAAGGTTTTCCCACTTCCAGTCAACCTCTGTCCCTTCGTACATCCAGGCGGTCAGAATCAGGCCGCACGTCTGCTTGTCGAGCGGGAAGTTGTAGAAATCGAACCTACACGTTACGGTAGCTGCAAAATCTTGCATGCTGTACACCGTTCCGTCGTAGGAAATTTCCACCGGGTATTTTCTGCTATGCGCGAGCGTTGCCTGGAAACCCTTGGCTCTAAAAGCCACACAATAGACATTTCTTATAGAAGCATATACGTGTAAGTGCAACATTTAACCGTAATAAACCAGCCGCAGCATTTAAATGATGGGCTGCTGAAACACTTTCGTGTTTGCCTGCAAACTTTTGACGTACGCGTTGTAGAGGCCCCGCTGAGAAGCAAGGGAAGTTGATGTACCTGTTACAGCTAATACATCTTAATTCAAAATGTGGACACGAGTACCAACAACACTGGTTATGAAGTATTCTCAAACGGCGAAGGCTCAGTCTGGTCATGAACGATCAACTACTGGTCATTGAAATCGCCAGGAAACTACAAGAAGAACTGAGAGACCGTCCCTTAATTGGCTTGATCAATGGTACTGAAATTTAACTGCAATATCCGCTTTCTATACCATTATACCATTCGACTGTAGACAAGTTGAAAAGCAGCAGAACAGCCAAAGACACTTCCTTGAGACAGGTTTACTCACTATGAGGCACGTGATCTCTATCGCAGCGGCGAACGTTGCTTAATATTTTTCTGAAATAGCGGATTAAAATTTCATATATCTGTATTACTCTGCTGTTCAGACTTTGGTAAGCAACTCTGACG